TAACTTGAGTCCTTAAACAGGGACTCAAAGAAAGGGGTGCGGCAAAAGGGTACCTTGTGAGGACTTTCCCAACCCACTGGTGCTGGTTTTGAATAGGGTGGAAGGGGACCATGAGCTAGAATCTGGAAACAGCCCTCCATTGATAGCCAGCAAGAAAACAGGGACTTCCGTCTTGCAAGGACCTCCAATATCCCAATAACCCCAATAGGCCAGAAATCAATTCTCCCCTAGAGCTTCTAGAAAGGAAAGTAGCCCATGGACAAATTGATTTTAATCTGATGAAAACAGATACTGGACTTCAGAGCCACAGAACTCTCAGATAACAAACATGTGTTGTTTTAAGCCATGAAGTTTATGACACTTTGTTACAACGATAATAGAAATTGTGTGCATCACACACTTCCTCCACCCCCACTATCGTGACCCTAATTCTACCCTACAAATCTGGCTAGACCAGAGCATGTACATGGGTACAGATAAGAGCTGGAAACACAGGGAATCCAGGACAGATAAGCTCCTCGGACCAATATTGAGAGTAGCCATACTAGGAGGGGAAGGGGAAGGTGGGGGGAGAAAGAGGGAAGCAATCACAATGACCTACCTATAACCCCCTCCCCAGGGGATGGACAACAGACAAGGGGATAAAGGGAGACATCAGACAGTGCAAGATATGAAAAATTAATATTTATAAATTATCAAGGGTTCACGAGTGAGGGAGGGAGGGGAAAAATGAGGAGTTTATACCAAGGGCTCAAGTGGAAAGAAAATGCTTTGACAACAATGATGGCAACATATGTACAAATGGGCTTGACACAATGGATGGATGGATGGATTGTGATAAGAGTTGTACGAGCCCCCAATAAAAAGATTAAAAAAGAAAAGAAATTGTGAACACGAAAGTTTTCAGCTTAATTTACTTGGCTAGTGTTGCCAGCAACACTATTGAATTCAAGGCCCCAGCAAGTGTGGGGATGATTGGGGTTGATGGAGGGTTGAGGTCTTGGATAAATTGCTTTGGAGAGGCAAAGGCATGCCAGCATTCACAGGCTAGTGCTTAGACCACACTTGGCCTTGCAGGATGGGAATTTGGGAGGTGGAAATAGCTTTGAAAGAATGTCCCAGGGAGAAGATAGGGAAAGAGACTCCATCAATTTCTTGAAAATTCCTCTGGCTCTCCTTGGCTCCTATCCCAAGCTCGTGTATGCCAAGTCATGCGCATCACAATTGGAATATATGGACTTTGTTTTGAAAAAAAAAAATCACCAGGAAGTCATCGTGAATAAATGTTACAGAAAGATCACAGTCATTTTATTTATTGACTTAAACCAAGACTTCAATAAATGGATAATGCTTTCAGATTTGTTCATTGTACGTTTCCAAAGGAAAATCTGAACATTTTAAATGCTTTCCCTTTCTTTGTTTATGGGGTTTTTTTAACAATGGAAATGATTTATCTCCCAAGAGTGGCATGGAGCTCAAATATATGACTCATTGGAAATGACGACCACCTCGTTAGTTGCAACAAATGGGAAGTTAGGAAAGAGCCCAAGAGAAACATAGACCAGGTCTCAGGAAAATGTAAAGCCTCTGGGGACATCTCACTATTGGACCAGGATGAGTGATGTGTGGAGCATCATCATGAGAGAGAGAAGAGGTGAATAAACTGTTAGTCACTGAGCAATTAGCCCCTGAAAAATACCTATAGAAAAAAAGAAAAAGCAGGTGATAACAATTTAAAAGTCTCTAGCTTTTATTTGTCAAATCCCCTCCCTTCTTTCAAGCAGAGTGCTGCCTTGCCTGTTTAGAGGTCAGCTCTGCCTGTGGGCTGATCTGCACTTGTCCTTGATCTACATTTTGATCAGGTTTTTCACTCTTGATTGTGAGTCTGTGCATCTCAAACTTGACTACTTAGAGATAGTGGACCAATTCTGTGGGTTTCCCAGGAAGCTTCCTTCTCTGCTCTGGCCCTTGGTCATCCTTGAGTTGTCCGTTTCCTCTAGTACCAAACAAAGGGTTGAAATTCTATTAAGTCCCTCGCCCTGTGAGTACATAGTTCTGGTCAAACGATGTAGCAGTGGAAAAGGTTGGATTACTATGATGAAGCCTAGACAAAATTGTAAAAAAAAAAAAATTGTATTCACTTCTATTGCTCTCCAACATCACTCTCTCCATCCTCCTTCGCTGGTCCTCAACTTTTCCCCAGTGCCTTCGTGTTTCTCCCTGCTTATATCCTGCTGTGGCACCTCACCTGCACCGCTCAGACTGGGTCCTTCTCAGAGTGAACCATATTAAGTACTCCTTCATATTCTTCCACATGATCTAGTCTTTCCTGGATGGCCAGAGGAATTTACCTAAAGCCTGCTAAAGTATGAATAACCGATTTCCCCTCCGTGCTTGCAAGAGTATTTTTAGAATTAAACTCCCGTTAACAGATTATTTCATTGGCAGAAAGTTAAGGGACAGAGACCTAGAAAAAAAAGCAATCCCAATGAAATTAGGGCCTCGTTAGAGAACGTGAGTACACCGTCAAGTCTGCATTCCAGCAGAACCAGGATGCGAATGAACCATCATTTCAGCTACAGTGAACCCTCGTTTATCACGGTTAATCGGTTCTAGACCCTACCGTGATAAATGAAATTCCGCGAAGTAGGATTCCTTATTTGTAAATCAAATATTTTCGTAGCTAGAACATAGAAAACATGAAAAAACACCCTTTAGTCACCATTACACTCGTATTACCCAATTTATTAAACGAAAAAGGGAAAATACAGTAAAACATTTTGGACGTTATAATTATCATTTATTATTTATTATATTATTTAGGGCATCAAGCGTGTACAGTATGAGCCAATCAGTGGCAGTAATGACAGAGCATGCGCTGTTACGCAAAAACCGCGATAGAGTGAAGCCGCGGAAGTCGAAGCGCGAAGTGGCGAGGGTTCACTGTATTATGTTTCTCCGTGAACATTTTGTGCTTTCAACATACTTCTCCCTTCCTCGTAATTATATCTCCAGAAATCACCGTGGAAACAACTATTCCTTTGTAATTAAAAAAAATTAAAGTTTGTAGGATAATACTCATCATGGGAGAGGGTTTGGGGAAGTAACACTCAGGCACTGGAAAAGGTAGTATAAAATGCTTGATGTTTTCTGTTAAGCAATTTGGCGATCAAAATTCATGGAGTTTCTGAAGGACATAATCAAATATGTATGTAAACATATAGCCAGAGGAATTTATTGTAGAATTGTTTATAATCATACAAATAGCATACACCAACATGCCTATCCAAAGGGAATGTGTTGTATAAATTAATGGTGCATCTGCTCAATGAAATGCTCCGCAGCCATCACAAATGATGTTGTAGGAAACAGTGGAATGATCTAGAACAAAGTTCAGGATATACTGTCATGAGAAAAATCAAGTTATGAGTAGTTTGTGATGATGATTTTAGACACACACACATATACACACACACACACACACACACATGCAGAAATAACTCAGTAACTCTTTAGTTTACACATCCAGAGGGGTTTGATCAAGTTTAAATTATAAGAATGGAAGATTTGTGATTTCATACGTGGAAAACCTGTGGTAAAAAGCATACTTAGTGGAAGCTTAATGTATGCAGGTCACACACTTTGTTCTTTTACAAATTCTAATGAACATATTAGGAGCCCTAGTGGCACAGTGGTTAAGCATTTGACTGCTAATGGAATGGTAGGTGGTTCAAACTCACCAGCAGCTCCAAGGAAGAAAGATGCGCGCAACCGCTTCCAGAAAGATTTGCAGCCTTGGAAATCCAATGGCCAGTTCTACTCTATCCTGTAGGGTCGCTGTGAGTCCGAATCAACTACATTGTAATGGGTTGGGGTTGTTTTGATTTAATGAGCATATTAGCCAATAACGGAGGCTCTTTGTCATCATTCTTTAGTTCAAAATGTACTAAACTGTTATATAATAAATGGGAAGAGCACCTACAACAGTTAACGATTTTAAAGATGGGATTCACCCAAAGTGAAAACCCAAACACGTGGCCGTTGAGTCAATTTCAACTGATAGTGACCCTATAGGACAACGTAGACCTGTTCCCACAAGCTTTTCAAGGTTAAAGCCTTTACAAAAACAGACAGCAGCATCTTTCTCCCACGGACCTTTCTGTTAGCAGTCAAGTACTCCAATCACTATGTTACCCATACTCCCTCTGGCTTTACCATGAAACCCAAACCCATTGCCATGGACTTAATTCCAACAGTGACCCACTACAACAGAATAGAACTGCCCCACATGTGTACACGTCTGTAATCTGTATGGCGACAGACAGCCTCATCTGCTGCTTGTGGAGCAGTTGGTGAGTTCCAACCATCAACCTTTTCTTTAGTGACCTAGTGTTTAACCACTGTGCCACCAGGATGCCTATGGCTTCACCAGATATGTCATCATAGAGAAATTAAAAGGACAGATTACCGTATATACTCAAGTATAAACAGAGTTTTTCAGCACATTTTTAATGCAGTTTTTGTGGTAAAATTAGGTGCCTCGGCTGATACTTGGGTCAGCTTATACTCGAGTATATACGGTAACTAACTTGCTGAAAATAAGATTAAGTTAGCATACTGCCCTCTTCTGGTAGTTATTTGCAGCTCATGTTATAGTCACTGGCAGTGAAAACTTTGTGTTACAGGCCCTGGAGTTGGCCCCTAGCCAATGGCAACTCCATATACAAGGAAACAAAGTGCTGCCCTTTTCTGCACCATCCCTATGATGGGCCTGTCTTCCTAGTGCGTCTTAGTCTCTGAGCTCCACTGAAACTTGTTCAGCCTCATAGCAGCACACAAGCCTGAGGTGCATTGGCCAGGAATGGAGCCCTCGTATCCTGCATGGGAGGCAAGAATGCTACCCAGGCCTCTTAATAAAGACGTAGAGCTTACTGTTTTGTACACCAATGAATTTATTGATCCCATTTAACTAAACAAATCACTTTTTTTTTCCTCAACAGAAAATGCTAATTCCAGTTTGCCATCGCCATCTGGTAAGACTGTTCTTTCATGATTTGGGGAATTTTAGGAAAATATTCTTCTTTACAAAGTCTCTATGAAATATGGCCAATGGTCAGGTAGAACACAGTCCTTTCCTCCGTGGAACTTAGTTGAACTACTCGATGTCACAGTATGCCGTATACCTGGGAAATCAGTAGTGTTCATACACAAGATGACAGACATTATGATCCTGCACATGTGGGCAAGGAGCCCTAGCGGCGGCTCTCTGATTCAGCACTTGTATGCTAACTGAAAGGCTGGCTGTTTGGACCTACCTGGAGGCTCCAAGGGAGAAAGACCTCATGATCTTCCCCCCGGGGGAAACCCTATTGGGCAGTTCTGCTCTGTCACACAGGATTGCTCCGAGTCAGAATTGATTCAAAAGCACCTAACAGCATTGACCCATTGTGGGCAAAACTTCCGGTAGATTGTGCCTTTTACAAGTTATTTTTAGGGTTCCACTTCACAAGTGTCCTAAAGTGTCTCAAGAATATAAACATGCCAAGTGCCTTGTGAAGAGCACTGGTCGGGGGTAGTGGCTACAACTTGGACTGCTAACATCAAGGCCAACAGTTTGAAACCACCATCTATTCCTCGGGAGGAAGATGGACCTTTCTACCCCTGCAAAGAATTACAGTCTGGGAAACTCACAGGGGGCATTTCTGCACTGTCCTATAGGTCACTATGAGTCAGTATAGGCTCGATGGCAGTGAGTTTGGCTTTTGCCTTATGTGCTATTTTTCAAATGACTTCCAAGGGCTTAGCACTCAGGAGAATCCAGGGTTGTGGAAAGGCAGGTCAATAAAGAGCCGCCTATAACTAGGACCGGTAATGCAAGAACCAGGCCAGAAGCCCCATTTGAGGCTGCTAACTGGAAGGGAATGGGACCTTAGGGAGGAAGTGGCCCAGTTTTGTTATTGATGAGACAATGCAGCCTGGGGTGATTGAATGACTTGTCACACAGCTTTTTACCCCATACTGCAGTGACAGCACATAGCTTATCTGACTCCTAATTCTGTATTTCTGGGATGCCAGATATTCCAGAACAGTCTTTTCTCATAACGAGTGAATCAAGTCACGACCCATCCACTAACCACAACAAAAAACCTCACTGTCATCCAATCAATAAAACTCATAGTGACTCTATAGGACAGGGTAGAACGGCCCTTGTGGATTTTAGTGACTATAAATCTTTATGGGAGTAGAAAGCCTCATCTTTCTCCCATGGAGTGGCTGGTGGTTTTGAATTCCTGATCTTGCAGTTAGCAGCCCAATACATAACCACTATGCTACCAGAGTTCCTACTACACCATCATCATCATTATATAAAAATGAACGTCAACTGCTATTCTTTCATTTATTTAAATCAAATGAATAACAAAAATAATTACTGTATGTGTACGTACCATGAGTCTAGAAGTTTTCAGATACCTTCCCTTCACCTCTCAACATAAGAATCATTTTAGTCAAATTACCGATGAAGAAGCTGTGGTTCACAGAATATGAACCTTGCCCATGGTCACACATTCTTTGGAGCCAAACTGCTTGTGTTTAAATATGGCCACGCTCCTCCATCCCCATTGCTGGCAGTGAGATTTTGAATACGTGCCTTAACCTTACACTGATTCAGTTTCCTCAGCTGTAAACTGGGAGAGAGTAACAATGCCTGCTTCATTAAGTGTAAACCCTTAATAAATAGGAGGATATAGTAGGCTCCGTGTTGGGCCGCTAACTACAAGGTCAGCATTTGAACCCATCAGCTGTTCTGTAGGAGAAAGATGAGACTTTCTGCTTTTGTAAAGATTTGCAGCCTACTCTGCAGGGTAGCTCTACTCTGTCCTGTGGTTGCGATGAGCCAGAATTAATGGAATTTTTTATGATGAATATGATGAATTAACACCCCTGTGGCTCAATATGGGAGCAGTAACACAAGGGAGGTACACCCACCTTAGACTAATCACCATTTGAGGTTGAATGGGCAGCATTCAGAAGGGCCAGGAAAGGAGAAAAGGAAATGGGAAACACAGGAGGGGATCAATAATAATCCACTGAGGCCATGGCAATGGATGAGTTGAAACAAAAGGAAGACAAGCTGCTGAATGTCAGACTGATCTGCTCTGTAAGCCTTCACCCAATTTACAATAAAAGGTGGTTGTTGTTTTTTAATCTTATTACTTAAGTAATGGAAAAGAACCAAACCCTGGACGGCAAAGTACCAACCTCTCTGTCTGTCTCTGTCTCTGTCTCACGCAGACACACACACCAGTTCTTAAGCTTCGGCGATAAAATGAACCTTTGTATTTGTCTGGAGCCGTCCTGGTGGCATAGCGCTCAAGCGCTTGGCTGCTTACATAAAGGTCGCGGCTTCAAACCAGCCTCAGGACCTGTATGGGACAGTCCAACTCTGCCCCACAGCTTCACGAGGAGTCAGAATTGACTTAACAGTCATGGACGGCCTTGGTCTGCCCGCAGAATAGCCTCAGCAGACTCGACCATCGTGCTAGATTAGCAAGATTTCATCCGCATCAAATGAGGAATGGATCTTGGGATACACCCTGCCTTGGGTCCCAGCCTAGCAGCTAGGTGCTCTGGGTTTGTGCAGTGCAGAGTGGACAGTAAGGGCCGTGTGTTTACAGGCCTCGGACCAACATCACCACCCGTCAACACCGGGAAGAAGTGTTGTTGTTCGGAGGGGCTGTTGCGTCAACTTTGACTCAGAGCAAGCCCGTGGGACACAGGAGAGCTGCCCCGTAGGATTTCCCAGGCTTGGCCAGAACAGATCACCAAGTCCTTCTCCCTTGGAGCTGTTGGGTGGGTTTGACCTGCCCACTTTCTGGTTAGCAGCCAACACGTTTAACTGTTGTGCCCCCAGGATTCCTTTGGGGAAGAATGAACAGTCATGGATGGTTTTTTTTTAATGCTTTGTCCAATGAGGAAGGAATATCATAGCCACACTTCAAATCAGATTGCTCAGGGAAGGTTTTATTTCTCAAGAAATATCTTGGATTTTTTAAGCATAAATGTAGTAAATGACAAAATATGGAAGCAATAATGTAGGACAGACAGGGTGTGTGCGTTTCAGCCAACGCATGAGCCGCCTGAAACAGACAAGCTAGCCAAGCGCTTGACGCACCCAAATTTTGTCCTGACCAGCAGCAAGCCAAGCGCTCCCTGCTGCAAGACTTGTTTCAGTGGTAGAAATGTTTGTATTTGCTTTTCCCATTTGGGGGTCAAGGTCAAGCCATTGGTTCTTTTTAATATTTAAACACACCAAATGTGTGCAGCATCTGACCTCTGTGTAAGTGGAGTCACTCTGCAGAAAATTTATAACTTGATTGATTGTCTTAATAGCCGTCAAATTTGAAAATAACATACCAGGAAATTGTGTTAGGGAGTAGAGTTTAGGAGGTCAAGATTTTTTTTTTTTAATTCTCATGTTCACTATGGGAAATGTTGCCAGGTTTCAGCATAACAGAATGGAGCCAATATGTCAATCATGACTGTAGCCTAGAAAATCAGTAAAAATGTGAAATGTTTCTAGAATGTTCTGCTTGAAAAAATAATTGCAAAATCCCATTTCTTATATTTATTTCTTAATGTTTTATAAGTACCAGTCGACTTTGTAAAGAAGCCCTGCTAGTGTAGTGGGTTTCGAGTTGGGCTGCTAACAGCAAGGTCAGCAGTTCGAGCTGTGCAGGACAAAGATGAGGCTGTCTACTCCCAGAAAGACTGACAGCCGTACAAAACCTAAGGGGCAGTTCTACTCTGTCTGGCAGGGTCATTATGAACCGGGATCAACTCAATGGCAGTGAATATGTAGGGGGGGGCGGATTTTGTTTTGGTTTTGATAGTAGACTTTGTAATCATAGCTTTCCATGTCTTCATCTAAAATGAGACCATGGTATTTGTTTGGTCTCTTGGGTTTTCTCTACAATTTGAGTAGATGTAGATCCACTGAGTGGTGATGGGACGTACAGATATAACCAAATAGTATACTGTGGTCAGCACATTTTTCTTTCATTCTGTTTTGCTTTTACCCCCACATATAAATATTCTAACTCCTTCAAATGCAATAAATAATGATTTTAAAGCATTCATTAAAAACATTTGTTTCTTCCTGCAGCTGAATCACCTCGGATCAGGTTTATCCCCATCTCCAATGGTACTCCAGGCAAGATTTTGAAAAAGTTTAAGCCTAGATTTAGCTCAATTTGTTAAGTTTTGGATTTAATTATATCTTTGTATTATTTGTCTCTTCGATGCTGAAAGAGGTTGAAACCACAAGTCTCAATGGTAAGAATGACTTTTTCTGAAGCAAATGAAAAGTAATAGCCCTCACTACGAATATAAATATCAAAAATGATATTGAAGGTTTTCATTTCTAAATTATATGAGTCTATTAAGTAGCTTCAATACCTTACCCCCAAGCAAAGCCTCCTCCTCCCAATAAGCAAACCAACAAACGGTTAATTGAATTATGGGACCTAAGTCAAGTTGACTATGACAAATGGACAGACTAGACTGCCCCGTCCAGGTTTCTAGGCTGTAATCCTTACAGAAGCAGACTGCCTCATCTTCCTCCTGTAGAACAGAACACCTACTGGATTCTACCAGTCAACCTTTCTCTTAGCCACCAAGCACTTAAGCACTGTGCCACCAGGGCCCTTGGTCCACCTTGGAAACAAACAAACAAACAAACAAAAAAAAAAACCCACTGCCATGCTATTGATTGTGACTGAGAGTGACCCTACATAGGGTTTCTGAGACCTTAGATCTTTACAGGATCAGATGGCCTCATCATTCTCCCAAGAAGTGGTTAGTGGGTTTGAACCACTAACCTTGTGATGAGCAGCCCTAACACAGCCATGGAAAACTACCTAAAATTTCTGGTAACAGGATCACATTTTTGTTCTCACAGAGGGAGACCAGCCCTCCACCATTAACTGTTCTAGAGAAGAAAAGAAACGAAAATATTTAGTTTCTTTTAGTACTCGTTTCGAGTACCCCATCTCACTAGGTCTCTAACACAGTGCCAGCAAGTTTTATAGAAGAGTTGTTTAAATGTGAAAAGTACATCCAGTGACTCCCACACGTTTTCTCTTGGGTTTGGAGAGACAGCGCGTTCAAAGACAGTCCGTTTACAGATGGTTTTATCAGTTTTTAAATCAGATGAAATGAAGACAAAACAAGTGGGCTCCTCTTTGCGCCAGAGAAAAGGGTGATTGTGGAGGGCAGCACATTCTGTTCCTCCCCTCTGTGGGTAAACAGCCTTCCATGGCACCGCGGTCAAACCCTGCTGCTCTTCACAACCGTTTGAAATGATTGTTGATAGAAGTTTAAGGAGTTCGAACTTTTGGTGCTCGGATGGGTGGAGGGAGGGACCCAAAACAGAATTTTAAGGAGTTCGAACTTTTGGTGCTCGGATGGGTGGAGGGAGGGACCCAAAACTGTGCCCAAAAAATGACAACAGAATAGTAATTGGTTAAATTTGAAAGTCCTATAATCAATTACTTGGTTAACACTACATTTAAACAAATCATAAAGAAAACCCAAGAGACCAAACAAATATAACTGTTTCATTTTACAGATGAAGAAACAGAGACCTAACAAAGCCTGTTAGAGCCTGCTAGTACCGTAGTTAAATTAAAGTCGAACCATGTTCATGCTGGCTTGGGAGCTAAACAAATTCTAGACGGATTTTCATGTAAAGAATGATAACAGCAGGCTTAAAATTGAACTTCAAGTTAAACAAGGTGAAACTGGGGACTCCAAGTTGACACGATAATTACTTAACAATTGCTTGAAAAGGTAAACATGTACTAAGCATATAACGCTAGTGTATTGAAGCTAGTATTAACGATGGGGTTTTCTATTCCCATAAAGAGCTACAGTCTTGGAAACCCACAGGGAAAGTTCAACTCTATTCTATAGGGTCACTATGCGTCGCCATCAATGGCAGGGAGAGAGTGAGTTTTTCAGGACTCTCATTATAATAGATGCCACAAAGGAATAAAATGTGCAGTAGCATAAAAGGAGTTACTCAACTCCAGTAAAGGTAAGAGCATTGCTATATGTTAGAGTCCCTGGACAGTTAATATGCTCTGCTGGTAACCAAAAGAAGTTTAGCGGTTCAAACCCACCCAGAGAGGTGCCTCTGAAGAAAGGCCTAGTGATCTACGACAGAAAACGCCTCAGAATTTAAAACTCAACTGCCATCAAGTTGATTTCGATGACTAGTGCCCCTAGAAGACAGAGCACAACTGCACCTGTGAGTTTCTGAGACTGCAACTCTTTTCGGGAGTAGAAAGCTTCCTCGTTTTCCCACAGAGCAACTGCTGGTTTCCAACCGCGGACCTTGGAGTCAACAGCTCCACGCATAGCTCACTACACCGCCAGGGCCATTGACAACTCTATGGAGCACAGAAGTCAACTCTGATGCACCTGGGGTCACCAGGAATGGAAGTTGACTCCATGGCCACTGGCTTTTGGCTATGTGTTGGACACATAACGTTAGTCCAGGAAACGAGTTTTGAGTGAATGAACCTGTGCAGGACTCAACCTGGGGCTGGAGGGAGGAGGGTGGTAAGAGGATGGGCAGCAAATACCTTGAATAGGATCAGTGGGCTTTGGGGGAGGAATGAAAATAAAAGAAAGAAAGCCGTTCACTCTCTGAAAGTCTCCTCAATTTCAGGCAAAATAAAATGGTTAAAGTGTCCGGGAGGACACACATTTGCAAACCATGCCCAGAGTTATGCTAATTTTTGTTATTTTATTTCAGATGCCACTTCCAGTATATTAACCACTTTAAACAAAACAGGTAATATTATGTTCTTTCTAAACCGAATCCTATGGTTCTGCAGCTTCTTGAGTTCCGTGTAGACGTGTGCGCTCTATTAGGCTACCACAGTGTTTCTTTCTCACCTGGTCCACCTCCCGGTGCCTTCAACTCCACTGGTGATTTTACTACCCTTTTGCCCACAGGGTCGCTGTGCATCAGAATGCACTCCGTAGATTTGGGGTTTTGTTTTACAATGACATTGAGCCATAGTTCAGGTATCACCATGTCCCCAAATTTCCAAACTGTTGTGGCTAAGAGTACACCGGTTACAACAATGTGCTATTTGTTGATTTTAGTTAGGCCATTTAAGAGAGAGAGAAAAAGAACATATTAGAAAAATGCATAGGAGAAAATGGAGGTCTTTAACTAAACATTTTATATATTTCCAGTTAGTGTGATATAATTGTGGAGCCCTGTGGCTCCATTTAAGCGCTTAGCTGCTAACTCAAAGATCGGCAGTTCAAATCCACCCAGAAGTGCCTCAGGAGACAGACCTGGCGATCTGCTCCCATACAGATTACAGCCTAGGAAACTGGTGTAGCAGTTCTTCTCTGTCACACGGGCTCATTATAAGCTGGATGGCACCCGGCAATTATCTATCTTTCTATCCTCTCAAAAATAGCCATAGTGTACATAGATTTTTTTTATATCTTTCCTTTTTGACTAAATAAAATCCCAAACCCAAAACTACGGCTATGGATTTCATTCTGATTCTTATCACCCCTGTGTCGGGTTTATCTTTATGAGCTAAATCTTTGTGAGAGTAGACAACCTTATCTTTATCCTGCAGAGCAGCTAGTGGGCTTGAATCACCAACCTTGGGGTTAGCAGATCAATGCCTATTTACTATATATACTCTAGGATAAGCTGAGTTTTTTTTCAGCACATTTTTTATGATGAAAAAGGCCCCCAGTTTTGTAGGGTAAAATTAGGTGCCTCGGCTTATACTCGAGTATATACGGTAACTCAATATTATATCAAAATATTTTCTAGAGCCCTATACTATTAATGATGAAAATATTCCATTGCGTGCCCTATGTAAACATTAAGGTTGTTTCTAATTTTTTATAGAAATTGTGGCAGTGAACATCTTGGTACCAGCATCTTTGCATTTGTCCCCAATTTCTTTAGAATGCCCTCCAAAGATTGGACTTAATGGGGCAGGATAGTGAGTATTTTAAGGTCCCTAATACCTACTGCTCAATTGCCTTCTCAGAAGGTTGTATCCAGTAACATTGCTGTCAGCAAGAGAGGAGAGTATCTTTGTCATCTGACCTTTTTTGAGATGACATCACTACATCATATATCATTTAATGTTTCACATTCTAAGGCTTAGATTGTATTTTTTCACTTTGTGATTATTAGTAAGGTCAAACATCCCCTCACCGAAAGCACTGGTATTTCTAGAACCAGAAGTTCATTTCATAGCTGTTTCCTCTGGAAAGGAAACTATTTATGGAAATGAATTATACAAGTCTATTTTTTTTATCTGCGTTGTAATGCAAAACGCTCTCAGTCTCTCTAAGAAATTACCACTCATCATTGCTATGGGTCACACGTTGAAATAGAACATTTCAATCATATCCACACAAATGAGACCTCTGAAGCTGTCAGTATAATAACATCGTCATTCTGAAATGAGGCTCTAAGCTCGGAGAGTTGTCTCTTCTTCAGAATTTGCCAGTTCATCCTAGGAGATAGTACCAAATCTGTGACCAGAACGTGGCCCTTTCTAATTGCTCTTCCTTACAGCAATGCTATCTGAGCCCTATTATCTGGAGAGTGAATCCTGAGCTCTAGCTTCAAAGGGTGTTGGGAAGATAGGGTTTGCTTCATCAGAGCATGATAGTATTTACCTGTAAGACATTGCATTTGACCAGTGCTTGTGTGTGACTGTACTTAAATGGTCCTGACTTGGCAGTCATTTGATCCATCCCTGCAATGCAATGGGGTTGACACTATCTTAGCTTCTAATAGAAATAACAGGGCACTTTGTTGATTGTGGACTATTGTAGCAATTATGTAGACCCTATGCTTCCTGTTTTCTATTCTGTTGTTACTCTCAGTCACCTGCTCTTTGCAAAGCTATCCCTTGAAGGTCCTGATGGTGACTTAATTATACATATCTGAAGGCTAAGTCCACATTCTTTTGTCTAGCAGTGGCCCTTGGAAACAGAAATAGAATTATACAAGCAATGGGATGTGTAATAGGTGTGATGTAACTGGGTAGACATGGGAATCCAGTTCCTAGACTGACTCCAGTGCTAATGCTCCATGATCTGCATATGTGGTTCCTGTTCATTCTGCTCCTGGGATGACGTAGCGGTGCCAACCATGCGATTTTCTCATAGCTTCACCAAAATACTACTCATGGAAAATGGTTTTTTCCCATCCCCCCCAAAAGGCAACAATTCTGCTCTAATATTTAAATTGCTTCTTTGCAGACAAAGCTAAAATCACTATAGTAAAAACCTTCAATACATCAGGTATGACTTATTATCAATATCAAGACTTTCTTTTTTATAACTCGTGTAAAATTAAACAAGCGGCTGGTGTTTGTTTTCTTTTCCTTGTCGTTAAAAAATTAAAACCTTTTCCTAATGAATAGATATTTTTATGGACCGGGTGCCTGGAGTTGTACTAAGCGTTTGGGGCTTACCCTCAAGAATTTTCTAGTCGATGGGAGGAGACAAGACAAGCAATCATAATAATTTGAGCCATATGCATACAAAGACAATTATTATATGAGTGTTTTTTAAAGGCCCGGGAGATGGAAAGGTTGGTACTAATGAGCCTGTCGATAAGGCACAATTAATGAAGAAAATATTTTTGGAGCAGTGAATCTCCAACTCTGTTTAAAATCAAAAGGAATATATTTAGAAGCGTCTAGTGCAAGTCTAGGCACACAACGTACATGATTAACAAAGACTTTTGGTTGATTTAAAGATGGAGTTGCCAGACTTTGACTCACAGGCTAAATCTGAACCACCATCTTGTTCTTGTAAATTTATTGAAACACAACTGTACCCATTTTTTTTACATGTGAATAGTAGAGTTGAGTAGTTGTGACAGAGGCCTAAAATTCTTATCCTCTGCACCTTTACAGAATAAGTTTTGTGAAAGAATGTCCTGTGGCCATGTACTTGGGGTAAATTGTAGATAATGACCTAGCATTAGTGAGGGGGGAGGCAGGGGAATCCTCAGGATGAATGAGCAGCGCAAAGACACACTTCACTAGAAATGAAGGTGCAGCTACAGTTCAGAGAAAGATGAGAGATGATAGAATGACAAGCTTAGAAAACAGTAGATTGATGATTGTAAAGCACATTGGAAACATCACTACTCACTGTCTATATATTCTACAATATTTACGTAATGTATATTTTAATAGTAAATTATTTATATGATTATATTTTAAATGAAATATTTCTCTTTTGGTGTGGATAGCATTGGTGTGGAACAATACAGAAATCTACATGTCAGGTAACTTTTGGCATCTAAATTCAGTTTGCTCAAAGAATCACAACCCTTAGCTAAAGAACTGGTGTCTACATACCACAAATCAATTAAAATCATTCTGCATAAGCCACATTACACACACTGACTCAAATTCAATTTTGTGTCGGTCCAGACTCCTTTCCCTATAGAGAGGAACTAAGGACTCATAATAATGGGCCATGGAAATGAAATAGCATTGCGTCCATAATTCTGACCAAATCTGAGCAACAAGGAGACCAAAATGTTCCTGAATATAACCGCCGTATTTCCTTGGTGGTTTGCTCTATGCATTTTTTATGGGCTTCTTCGGCTTTGCCAGAAGGATGACATGAACAAAGGGAAGATTCTTAGAGCAGTAAACCTTAAGTTCTTTTTGACTCAGAGAAGCTTTTTTCACCAACCGAGCAAGAGTCTCTCCCTTGCTTCTCTGTATGACGTGTTTTGTTCTAACATGGCTCGTTTCCTCTCCCATTCTTCTCCGTCTCCTTTGTATCTTTGTATGGGCTCTCCTTCCGGCCTTCACTCCATCCTGAGCTTATTTAACCTCTCATCTACTAGCCTCTATCACCGGGAGGCACTTTAGAAGACAGGCCTGGGAATCAGCCTGGAAAACCCCATGGAGCAGTTCTACGCTGCACACACAGGGGCTCCGTCTAGTGAAATCAACTTGATGTCGACTAACCACAGAATCACCCACTAGATTGTAAGCTCCTTGAGGGCAGGGTCTGTATTTGGAAACTCCCAAAGTCAGTAGACTATAGGAGGTGCTCATCAAAAAAATTTTTAAATCATGTAGTTTCTGCTCATGTGAAGTGATATGCTGACATTAGTGTTAATTTAAATAAAAAGTATATGCATAAGGAATTAGGACAATATTAGCATGTTCATGGACTCACCTACTAGGAACAGAATGAAGAGCTATAATTAAGGCCTATTCTACTTAAAGTTATTCTTCTTGATTTCCATTCATGGTCCCTTTATAGTGGGCAGGAGGCAGATTAATTGGAAATGGGACAAAGACATTTTAGGAAGGAGTTGGGGATCAGAACACCTATTGCCTAAAGAATCATAAAGAATTAAGCTCCATGGCTGGCCAACTAATAAGTGAAAACTCTCTCACACCTTTTGTTTTTGTGGAATTCAGTCAGCCCACTTTTGCTTATCATATTTTCAGCCCACATTTGATGCCTAAGTTTCTGAATTCTCTTGACATGGTCATATATGTGCAAGTGTTGACATGTTTAACTGGCTTGGTCGTGGGTGTTGTTGTTTTTCCAGGAGTCAAACCCCAGAGGGATCTCTACAATCTGTCATCAATTTGCAACAATTCAGGTTAGTACTTGTGTACTACATGTTACTGGATTTATTAGCTCCCTAGAGAAAAACGCTTTATCTTTCCCATATTGAGTGTGTGATCTGTGCCTCTGATCTGGCTACTAAGTCCCTAATGAAAAGATAAGCAAATTTTAGATCTAGCTAAAAGTATTTTCCCAATTGTCTAGTAAGGGGATAAATGAATTTTAATGTGAGACACTAAATATTTTTCACTATACCTTTATATCCATAGCTAATATACCCTTAGTTATTAATTTGAATTAATTCATGCAAAAATAAGATTTGTAAGGATAATCATAGTGAACAAAAGTCACTTCTTATATAACCTAAATCCCTCAAACTTTTCACAAGACCTTAAGTAATATAGCTTAGAAACTGGATGTTGTCTTTGGGTAAGAATGAAAGGAATCACTTTGCTAGAAGATTGAAATCTCACATACACCTAGTTGAATTGAATGTGATTCCAGTGGCGAACATAGTGTATTTCACCACCACCAACTAAGACTGTCCACTCTTATAAAAAAAAATTGAGATTGAAATCTCTTGAGAACATACTGGTTTTGAAACGGGAATATTTTCCCTTGAGCTATGAGCCAGGAGGAATGCAATGACCATGTTTCTCACATTGGTTTTGCTCTCTGGGCTCCCTTCCTTGTTAAAACAAAATGGAAGCAAGGGTGAAAAACTGGAAAACATGGGATAGCAGGTCAAAACTGGAGCAAGGGATGATGGGAAGGAAGACGACGATAACCAGGTGTTTTATAGTATGAACGACTTAGTCTGACTTCAGTAATGTAAGAAAATCATTTTAGGAATGTTTTCCTCTTATTCTATTTAGTTTGACAGTTTAACAGTGTTTAATACTTTGTTTGAAAAACATAGGTAACTATTTCAAGTAAAATACGTTAAAGTTGGATCATTTAGATGACAAGAAAAGTCCTACTTGAAAGAATGTTCCATAAACACTTCCTATTTGTGTGGACGTAAGACGGAAGAATATGAGCTTTCGGCTGTTATTATGTTCCAGGTAGACTATCATAGGGAAATATTAGCTGGTTTTGATTTTTTTTAAAAATTGGACTGCATTTCATTTTCATATATTGTATAATTCTTCTTCCTTCTCCTTCTTCTCTTACCCTTAGCTTTACTGAATTCCACATAATTGCATTATTTTTGTGCCTCACCTATGTTTGGAGTTGGTGATTAATGTCTAGTTCAGTGTTGTGTCTACACAACGTGTGATAATTATTTGAAACTTGAACATTTTGGTTAAGAAAAAGAATCAACCCCACTGGTCATCTTGAAGACCAGATGCCAGAAAACTGGTTGGAGTAATGTTTTCCCCAATTAAGTGACTGAATTGACCGTTTGTTTTCATGTCTGGTGAAAACATACTCATCGAGGAACCAACTAACTCCTTTGGCACTAGAAATTCCACCCTACCCTGCCAGAAACTAGAAACCTCCACTTCTTGCAGGTTCCATTCTGGGCTCATTACGGGAATTGAAGGCTGGCAAAGCAACTGGGAGCTGACCAAATTAACAAGAGTTGGGCTGAGGGTCAAACAGTGGTGACTGGTTGCTCTGCTACTGCTGTGCTTCCAGTGTGTTTAAGAGACTCAACTCGTGTTCAACAAGACTGATGAATGAACTTGGAAAACGGGAAGGGTGAAGGAGAAAAGGTGTAGGTGCTAACATGCACATTCACTTGCTCACACACTAAATACGTTTCAAAAAGCTGATAGATTTTTCACTTGGATAAGTCATTCTAGGCAGATGTGGCCCTATGGGCTACACATTAAGCTGCAAAACACAAGGTCAGCAATTCAAACCCACCAGCAGCTTCATGGGAGAAAGCTGAGGCTGACTGCTTCCATGAAGAATTAGAGTTTTGGAAACTCACAGAGGGTAGTTCTACTCTGTCCTGTAGAGCCGTTATGAGTCAGAATCAGCTCGATGACAGTGAGTTTGGATTTTGGTTTTGGTTACTTTTAATAAAATTAAGTATTATGTGGAAATTCGGTATCTTTATGTAGACATTGAGGTCTCCAATAGAAAAGTTGCTGCAATGATAGCTCATGTTAATCGCTGGTCTAGTGGCCTTTATTACATGGAAGTGGGCCATGAGGTACAGCCCAATTGTTGTGCTTTGGGTACAGTGAAAGAAGATCAAATAAGGAGACCGCCAGTTCTCTAGCTCAAGGATGGGCTGACTACAGCTCAAACTACAACCTGCCGCTGGCTTTTTAAAGTAAAGTACTATTAGGACACACCTTACCCTATTCGGTCACTTATTGTCTGTCTCTGCTTGTGCAGAATTGAGTAGTTGCCATAGAGACCATATGGCTGCAAGATCTCACATATTTATTATGTAGTTCTTGACAGACAATGTTGGCTCTAGCTTATAGGACACCTTTGCCCAAGGCTCAGGAGGCCAATCTTTGGTCCCTGTGGTTTATGAAGCATACACTACCTTTCTGTTGAGGGCTTTCGATTTTATCTGCTTCTACAATGAGTCATAGCCCCTGAGAGTGGTCAATGCACAAACAGGCAGATGAAAATTGAGTTCAGTAATTCCAAAAGTGAGCATAGAGAGAAGAGAGTTTTCTGTTGTTTCTGAAGTAAAATCCATAATTAATTGTGCACCTGAACAGAGGATTTGCCTTCCATATTCTTGAGGTTTCGAAGCAAAAATCTCCGGTTTTTTTTCTAGGAAAGATTTGAACTTAGTGGTGCAGCAGTTAAGCACTTTGCCACGAACTGAAAGATTAGTGATTTGACTCCATTAGTCGCTCCCTTGGCAAAAGACAGGGTAGTTCATTCCAGTAAATATAGATGGTCTTGGAAACCCTATAGGGCAGTTCTACTCTACCTACATGGTTGTTATGAGTCGGGATATACCTGAAGGCATTGAGTCTGGCTTGGGTTTATGTAAAAGACAATACCAAATGGCCAGCCGTAAACATATTTTCATAACAGTTGAGAAATGTGTTCCCTCCCTCCTTGTAACAGTAACAACTTAAAATGTTTTTGAGTGAACAGTAGTGAACACGTCTCCCAGTTAGAATCTTTAGGGGAACTAGAGTTCTAATGAGACCGGTGAAAAGATATGAAGGGACTTTAAATTTTTTTAGAAACATTCCGTTACCTTTTCATTCCATTTTTCCACGAACTCTTTGAAGTCCTCTTGTACAGTTGCTTAGCTGTTACATATTTGGGGGAGAATCAACTTAGTAACTCGTCATATGTTCTCATTTTCTAATACTATTAGAATTGTTTTCTAAAATTCAGAGTAAATAATGTTTCATAAGCATTGAGTAACTTACTGATATCCAGTCCCAACCCTCAGCCAAGCACTTTAACCTCTGTGCCATCATGCTTCCACTTAACTTACTGGTAGAAAAAAAGTAAATATGAATAATAACAAAGAATTTAATGAAACCCCAGTGATAAAGTAATTTGATAATCTCTTAAATATGTTGCATGAATCCTTAAACTTTAAGCATAGAAGTCTCAAATTTCTCTTTGAAAATTTGTTTTTAGCAATTTTTAGAGGTGAGATAATGTTTCAATATCCCGAAGAAAGCAATGCTACTCAGGTAGGTTTTAAAGATTTTTCTTATTGCAATCTTGAAAAGTGAATATATGTGTATTTAAAGAATTTTTTCAAGGTTCAAATGATTTTATAGTTGATATATTTACATATATGATCACATGGAAAAATATGAGTACTTTGAAAATCTGATTTTTCTTCCTAATAATTATTGCATGTTGTTAATAATTATATTTCAGTTTTCATTAATTTTGCTGCTGAACAATAATCTTAATATAGTATATGATCTTATTAAATAGTCAAAATTTGAAATTATATTTGAAACTTCTAGCAGCAGGAAAGATAATTCATTGACTCCAAGAATCATCTTCCAAAGTTGATTCTTCCAAAGTTAACCCATAATCTAGTTTGGTTCACCAACCCAGGGACAAGGGAATAACAAGTCAACTAAAATCAATGGAAGGAAGGTCGTAGGATGACTAGTGCAGCTCAATCAAGGGCAATGTAGCAGGGAGAATTTACTAAACCCAAATGAAGGCCGAACATGATGGTGGGACAAGGGGGAAGTAAAAGGAAATAGAGGAAAGAATCAGGAGGCAAGGGACATTTATACAGGCATAAATACAGGCATATGTCAATATATATAATGAGAGGGGAATAGAACTATAGAACTATGAACTCATATCTATATGTTAAGAATTAAGGTTGCAGATGGACATTGGGTTTCAACTCAAGTGCTCCCTTAACACAAGAACACTTTGTTCTAACAATCCAGCATTCTGTGATGCTCACCTTCCTGACACTATCACTGAAGACAAAATGGGTGCATGGGCAAGTGTGGTGAAGAAAGCTGATGGTGCCCGCTATCAAAAGATATAGCGTCTGGGGTCTTAAAGGCTTGAAGATAAACAAGCGGCCATCTAGCTGAGAAGCAACAAAGCCCACATGGAAGAAGCACTCCAGCCTGTGTGATCATGAGGTGTCAATGAGATCAGGTATCAGGCATCTAAGACCCAGAATAAAAACATATCCAAGGTGAATGGAGGCGAGGCACGGAGTGGAGACCCAATGTCCATCTGTAGACAATTGGACATCCCCTCATAGAGGGGCCAGAGGGAAGAGATGAGCCAGTCAGGGTGCAGTAGAGCACCGATGAAACACAACTTTCCTCTAGTTCTTCAATGCTTTCTTCCCCCCACTATCATGACCTCAATTCTACCTTACGAATCAGATTAGACCATAACATGCACACTGCTACAGATAAGAGCCAGAAACGCAGGGAATCCAGGATAGATAAAACCCTTAGGACCAACAAGGAGAGTAGAGATACCAGGTTGATTAGGGGAGGGGGGCGGAGAAAGGAAGAACCAATTCCAAGGATCAACCTAGAACCCCCTTCCAGGGGGACAAATAACAGAAAAGTGGGTGAGGGGCAATGGAGCATGATGTAAGATATGGAAAAAGTAATCTGTAACTTATCAAGGGTTCATGAGAGAGGGCAGGTGGGGAAAGGAGGGGGAGGAAATGGGGAGTGGATATCAGGGGCTCAAGTGGGAAGAGAATGCTTTGAACATGATAGCGGCATATGTGCAAATGTGCTTGACACATTGGAGAAATGTATGGATTGTGTTAAGAGATGTAATGTTTTGAGAATGATGAGGGCAACGAATGTATAAGTGTGCTTTACACAACTGACATATGTATGGATTGTGATAAGAATTGTATGAGCCCCCAATAAAATGATTAAATAAATAAGAAATTTTAAAAATATAACACGAACAGACATATACACACCCATGTTTATTGCAGTAATCTCCATAATAGCAAAAACATGGAAACAACCAAAAACTCTGATCATAGCGGAATGGATAAACCAACTCTGGTACTTTAATATAATGGAATAGTTTGCATCAATTTTTTAAAAACTGACAACTCTCTTAAACAGCATAAGACATGGACAAAAGTAGAGAACACTATGCTTAGCCATTAGTCAATCATATAAAGATAAATATTTAATGGCACCATTATTATAAGGAAAACCAAGAAAAATAAATGTGGTTTATACACCAAAAGATAAGATTTTGAAGGCTACGAGGAGGCCAGGCACAGGGGTGGGAACAGGGAGAGAGGAGGAATAGAAAATTATACCTAAAGGGAGGAAAGAAGGGAGTGAGAAAAAAAAGAAAAAAATCATATTTATGGGAGATTCATGGGATATTATTACTGATTTCATTTATTGAAATGGGCTGTGTAACAAACTGTATGAAATTACTTCTTTAAAAAGTCTAGATGAAATTTTGAAAAAAACAAATGAGAGTGAAGGTTCAAAGCCTTGAAAAAAACAACCTCCAGAGTCCTTACCTCTTAGATCTAAATATTGGTCTGAGTGGGCAAAAAGGGAGGAAAAGTAAAATTGAAATGGGCTTAGCACTTCTAGTGACATACAAGTTCATTTTAAACATAAGGGGGGGGGGAAGTGAAGAACATCTTGTTAGAGAATGGAAACCAAAGCAAAACTAACACCAGTGTTTCTTGTGTGCTTCTAACAGAACCAAGAAATGGCAAACGGCACCTTAAGTGGAGTCCTGTCTCTGAGTGAATTGAAGTGAGTAATCACTTACTGAGCAGTTGTTAAGCTGGCTTTGGAAACTGGAAGTTAGAAAGAGACAGAGACAAAGGTTGTAGAGCTCATGGATTGTTGCGTTTTTTAGCAATCAACAGTTGTCATCTGTCATGAACTAATTTCCCTGTAACAAGCCTCTGGTTTATGCTACAAGATAACATGGTATTTTCATTTGGATTGGTATTTGAGATTCAATATGGTTTGCTTTGATAGCCAGCGTGGTAGAACAAAGAGTTCGAAGAAGAGTTCAAGGTAGGACTCTTAGTAGTTCGCACTTTCGTGAAGCATCAATGATTCAAACATTAGAAAAACGTCCTTGTTAGTAGACCTCGGCTTCCAAAAACCAGCACAGGCAATGAGAGATACATTGCAAATGGATGCCTTGTTAGCTGAAAGGTTGGTGGTTCAAACCCACCCAGCAGCACTGCAAGAGAAAGACGTGGTGCTTTGCTCCTATAAAGATTACAGCCTAGAAAACCCTATGGGACGTTTCTACTCTGTCACATGGAGTTGCTATGAATCAGAGTCAATTCAGTGGCACCCACCACCACCATCAGTTAAACCATTGGACCAGATGTCAGCCAGCAGGTTGATTTAAGCCCAGAACAATCTTACCCTGACTCACACTGGGACAGCGGACATGTTCTCTGTCTTTTCCTCACGGCAAGGAAGCAGCAGCAACAGAGATGATCTCTGAGAACACTGACCAGAAAAGTTTGCCCTGGGTGAAGACTCTGTATGGATCATGCATCCAAGTTAATGTTTGGACCAGGCTGCTCCTCTTGGGTTAGCAACACCTGAGTGGAGCAGAAGGGTACCTGGTAGTTAACGATTCAATAAGTGAGAAGTGGGATTTGGTGCGCATTGTTCATGTCCTTTCTGCCTATGTTTGACTTCTTACTGAAAAGCTAGCCTTTTCTAACGGTTCAGATGTATCTACAACATATAAAAGCAGATGGTAGCAATGTTTCTGAAAGGATTCAGATTTGAATTAGGATGAGTAGGAGGGTTAGCATAAGGTTAGGGCTCATATTATGGTTAGTGTTAACAGTTAGAGTTAGGGTTAGCGTTGGAGTTAGAGGGACCTTTATTTTTAGCGATTGGTTAAAGATAAGGTTTGCACTTAGAGGGTATGATTAGAGCTAAATTAATATTAACTGCTCAAGATAGGTTTAATATTAGGTTTAGGGTTAGGATTGGGTATAGAAATGGTGATGATGCTAGATTCGGGGTTAGGCTTAGGTTTAGGGTAAAACTCACCAAAACCAAACGTCAGTGCTGACTCATATCAACCCTATAGGACAAGGTAGAACTCTCCCTGTGGGTTTCTGAGACTGTAACTGTACAGGAGTAGAAACTTTATCTTTGTCCAGCAGAGAAAACGCTGACCTAGAGTTAAACATATGGTTCAAAAATCAAGTTAGAGTTAGACCTGTGGTTATGGGTATAGATAGGTTTAGGGTATGGGTTAGACTTATAGCTTTCATTAGGTTTAGGGCTAGAATTAGTGTTAAATATATGATTAGGACTCATGTTAGTGTTATTATTAATCCTAGGAAGGGAGGTAGACCTTGAGTTAGGATTAGAGTTAGAGATAGGTTTTAGATTGATTTAGGATTAACTTTAGTATTAATATAAGGGTTAGGGTCCCTATTGGGTCTAGAATTCGGTTTAAATTTGGATTTAGAGCTTATATAAGGGTTAATGTTTGAGTTTGAGTTAAGTTTAGGTTTGGGATTAGGGTTAGGGTTTAGATGAGAAGGTTACCATTATATTTAGGTTAGTTTTAGGATTACTATGTTAGGGCTCAGGTTAAGGTTAGAATTCTGGCTGTGACTCATGTTACTGGATTCCAATCCTAATTCTAACAGTAACCCTAACCATATTCCAAATTTACACCCTAATCCTAATCTTAAAACTAAAAGGACCCCCTTACCCTAATTCATGCATGAAACCTAAACCAAACCCTAACCGTAACCAAAGTAAACTCATTGCCATCAAGCCAATTCTGACTCAGAGTGACCCTGTAGGACAGAGCAGAACTACCCCCAAGGGAGTACAAAACCTAACCTTTTTTTTTTTGGCAGAGCTGCTGGCAGCTTCTAATTGCTGACCTTGCAGTTAGCAATGTGTAACCCACTGTGCCACCAGGGCTCCTTATAACCATAACATAAACCCTAAAAATAACCCTGACCCTAAAGCCAGCCCCATCCCCAAATCTAAACATGTATTAAACATGTACTATGTACTGGACCTTGGGGATACAAGTGGAGATAAACTCAACTGCTGGCGAGATTTTAAAAATCTTTAATTCCCAAGTGCACTCCATAACAATTAAATGAGTTTGGGGCGTGAGACCCAGGCAGTAGTCGTTGTTAATGCTCCACAGGTAGTTTCAGTGTAATGTCAAGTTTGAGGACCAGGAGTCTAGAGCCTGGCGAGGAAGATTTGAGATGTAAACAAATGGTAGCAGTACAGTCTGCTTCCTACAATGAAGGTGTCGTGGACAGGATAGCAATCTGAGATAGAAGAGTTGGAGTGGTTCGGCCCGATGTGAGGGGCCAGAGAAAACTCCAGAAAGAAGGCAGCCTCTGAAGAGTTATAGAATAGTGGCTACTGCTGACTTGGGAAACTAGCTGACCATTGCCATGGGACTTCCTGTCTCCATCCAGTCCCTGGAGCGGCCTAGAACAATGCCCATCCCTTCAAGCAGGATTTCTCAACCATCACTCTATTGACAATTTGGACTAGACAGTTCTCTCTTGGGGGATAGGAAACTGTCCTGTGGGATAGTTATAGGCATCTCTGCATCTACCCAAGGAGCTCGGGTGGTGGAATAATTATGTGTGGAATAATTATGCTAACCACAAGGCCAGCGATTTGAAGCCACCAGATGAGGCTTTCTACTCCGGTCAAGACTTACAGTCTTGGAAACCCAAAGGGGCAGGTGTACCCTGTCCTACAGGGTTGGTATGAATTGGAATTGGCTCGATGACACTGAGTTTGTTTGTTTGTTTTTTGTTAGAATCAACCCACTAAATGCCAACTGAAAGAACCAAACAGGTCTCCAAAATAAACAAACAAACTCATGGCCATTATAGAACAGCTGGTGGTTTCAAACTGTACACCTTGCAGATTGAAACCCAACTGAGAACCACTACATAAATGTTCCCTGGGTCGGGGTTGGGGGAGTGGGAGACACGGGACAGAGTAACCTCGAGTTAAGAACCACTGTTTCAGAGTGAATTATTCTCAGTAGATTCCTTTCATCCTCATGTCATGCAAAGCTCTGTCCCATGGATGAAATACAAGTATTGTGGGAGTCGAGTTGGAGAAGAGGCATAAGAACGATTCCTGAAGGGATGTTGTGAGGGGCAGAACAGCAGGGCCAGATAGATCAGTTGTCCACCAGGTCCTGAGCCCCAGGATGCGGCCTCCGGCTGCAGTAACCTAATGAATAACTAGGTTGTTTCAGCATAATTTTTTTCTCGCTCTTAGCTAGAAGTGATACCACTTCTACCTGGTTAGTTTTCACTTGTTGCATGATAATTAATTTTTCCCACATAGGAATCTCGTGTTCTACCTAGTGTTTCTTCAAAGTGAAGATTGTAAGCAGTAAATACCATGTGCTTAATTTAATTGCTGAAAATCTAATGGTTTAAATTTAGCATCTCTCATGGTCCCCTTAATGTCAATCTCTCACCCTCTTTCTTTTCACAGGCGATCAGAACTCAACAAAACCCTGCAAACCCTAAGTGAGGTAATCAGAGTCCATCTTCTACCTTCTAGTTTCTTTGGGATGAGCAGGGTAGGGGAACATGTAGTTTGGTTTTCCTGGAGAGCTAGGTCTTAAAATTCTGCCTAATCTGTCATATTAAAAAAGAAACAGATGCATTTTATTTAATCACTCCAAACATCACAACTAGGAGTCATTACTGAGTGAACGTTACAGTGAGGTAGCTTCTCCTCAGTGTAAGCCCCCAAATTTCTAAAAACAAGTTCCAGGAAAATGAGCTCCCTTGTATGATACTAAGCTCCCTGTCACTGGAGGTATCCAAGCAGAACTTGTATGATAAAGTTCTGCAGGGCATATAAATTCTGCTTGCATACCTAGGAGCCTGTGGGATTCTTTGATTCTGTGATGCAGGGATTAGCCATGGATCTTGCCTGCCATTTCCAACTGTTAACCTAATTTATGTATTTTTGGGTTGTTATTTCAGACATATTTTATAGTGTGTGCTACAGCGGAGGCCCAAAGGTCAGTCCTTTAGAATGCTTTTATAAATATTATTTTGTATCTATCCTTGGAAAAGGAAGTATTGAGGGTTTTGACTAAGCTTTAAATTAAAAAAACTTTCTTCTAATACATATATATTAGGACATTTATATATGTAAATATGTATATATATTTCCATGGTATTTTAGATTCACATGATTCTATTTTCCAAAGTACTTATAACTCTCTCCCATTCATCCTCCTATTTCTTTCTGAGACAACGAATTGTGGGTTATATTGGCTATTTGCCTCTGGTTCAATGAAGCTAAAGAGCACCTGAGTCCTTAGCCTCGAAGGCCATCAATATGGCGGAAGCATGGCTCGCTCAGACCCAGACTTCTCTGTCTGGGATATAATATGGGTTTGGGAGAAGATGGAGGAAAAGATTGGAAAGGAAGAGAAGCAAAATTTTTAAATGTATGTGGGGGAGATGCAGTTTGTCCATCAATTATTTTGGCTTCTGCAGATCATCCCTTTAAGCCATGGTCATTGTCTGTGCTGGCTGCACAAAGCAATGGCTTAAAGGGTGATGATCCCATTGCCTGGACTAGGACAGTCCCCGTGAAGGCCTAGAAAATTACTGTCTCTACTCATTGGTACAAACAATAGCAAATTTCTATGAAAAGTATGTATTGAAGCCTGATCCACTAATTAGCAGTATGGGCACTTCCTGTCAATTACCTTCTTTTCCTTATTTGCAACATCAATTTTTCTTTTCACCTACATCAAAGGCAACATAGAGGGAGAAACACAGAGAATGTGTTCAGTCCCTGGGAGAGACTTGATCTCATTTTCTGGTCATCTAGATTGAACTGACGGATTCTAAGCTTTCAAGACCTTGAGATAATAAGTTAGGTTGGTTTTGAAAGGACTCCCAGGGTGGAAATTCAAACCGTTTACAGACACCAGGCAAGCTTGTCAAGATGCTTGTCTTTGCAGGCAACTGTCCTTCCTGCCCTTTTCATCGAAGAGGTAAAACCTAGGTGCTGGTTTACCACCTTTGTGAGCAGGAACCTCTCTAGAAATAAATAAATAAACCCACATACATACACATAGATATGGTTATAGATATAGATCTAAATACAGCTACCAATACAGCTATCCATACAGATACAAATATAAATATACCTACAGTTACCAATACAGATATATGCAGATAAAGATATAGCTATGTAGATAACTATATGTCTTAGGAGGCTTCTGGCAAACTTTAGACCATTCTATGGGGGAAGTTTCCCAGGTCATCAGGATGATATTGCAACTGAACTGCAGCCATATCCCCCTTTCCCACTCTAGCTTTGAGAAAGCAAATATCTGAACGAGAGGAACTTCAATAAGTTCCTGGACAAACAGACTTCAACGATCTTGGAATTGGTTCCAGAAACTTTTTGCAGCCCCCTTATATGCAGGTTTCCAATTGAGTAGCACACTGGTTTATATATACTTATTTCTCTTTCCAGCACATTAAACTGCACATTCACAATAAAGCTGAATGAGACTCTGGATGTATGTGATGTCATGATAGCTTTAAAAGGCGTAAAGATGCGACAGATGGGTAAGTCGTCTCTTAATTGCTGTGTTCATTCACACGTGGCTTTGAGCATGTTTTTCATTGAAAGTATAACTAATATTTTTATGCCTGTTAGGGTTTTCTGATTGGGCTCTTTTTTCCTTGGGCAATTTTTCCAACCCCTTAAATCCAAGTTGACTCAACAGCAATGGGTTTGTTATTGGCGTTTTTCTTTTTGGTTTGGAAGGTGATTTTCCCACCCCCACCCCCTCCACTTTGCAATAGACCATTTGCCATTGAGTTCCTTCTGACAGATGGCGACTCCGTCCATGTGGGTCAGAGTAGAACTGTGCTCTGGAGGGTTTTCGATGGCTGATTTCTGGAAAGTAAGATCATCAGGCCTTTCTTCTGAGGCACTTCTGGGTGAACTCACGTGTCTAAATTTCAGTGAACAACCGAACACATTGACCATGTGCACCACCCAGGGACACCTGGGTAAAGGTTAAGTGGATTGTACTTGAAAAGATGAAAGGAGGGTGGGGGGAAAGGCAACAGCTACTCTAGTGAGAGAGAATTCTATTTGGACAGTCCAATGGATTGCTACTAGGATATATTTACATCTACATTCCTCTTCGGAGTTACTGAGCATTGATTGGTATTGGATGCATATGAAAGGGAAAAAAGTATTCATTCAACACTTTTGAGCCCTTACTCCATGTGTATACTTGTCAATAAAATGACACCCAACCTGCTTCACCTGTCATTTAGACAAATGGTCTTTCAAATGCAGCCTTTGTAAGAAGTGTATCACTTGATGGCTCTGAGTCTCTATCTTGACTTATTCCTGACCTTGCACTTCTTCTTTTTCTTTTGTCCCCTCCAGAACAGTGCTGTTGTTCTACCAGAACCCTCTGCCCCTCATCCCCGGAAGAGTTAGAAAAACTACAGTGGTATGTAGCAAACATCCGGACCCCATTTCCTTATAAAGCAACATTTAATCACCTTACTGACTAAGAATTTGTGGAATTTTAGGAGAAAGGAAGAAGAACTTTCAATTTTAGAGAAAGTGCACAGTTTTCTGTTGTCCAAAGTTTCCCTTTGGGCCAGTGCCATAGACCGGTGGTTCTCCAGCTTGGCCACACATGGGGCCACCTGGGATCTGTACAGATCTGATCCCCCACAGTCTTACCAACAGAAAGTGTTGTCATATGTGTGCAGATTTGCCCATCTGGTGGGCAAGAAATGGTGTTGTTTACAGTTACAGTTCTCTTATTAAGAATTTGCTTGAACCTTTATTCATGTATTTGATGGCCATTTTTATATCTCTTTTTTGTCATATCTTTTCCTCACTTTTCTGTTGTATTTTTGGTCAATTTCTAAGCATACTTTTATGTTGTAAGCACTGTGCCTGTGGTGTCTGTTTTGAATGCTTCTTCCCATTTGTCCATTGTCTTTTGACTTGATGTTTGTGTCGTAAAATATATCAGTCTTTTTCTTGACGGTAAGTTTTGAGACATAGTTAGGAAGTCTAGTCCTCTACCAAATTATAAAGAACCAGACTTTCTCTCTCTCTTGTTTAATACTTGCCTGGTTTTACTTTTTACACTTAGAGCCTTAATTCATATGGAGTTTATTCTTGTGTGTGGTGTGAGGTGTGGATCTAATTTTCTCTTTTCCCAAGTGTCTACCCAGTAGTCTTTGCATCATTTATTTAAAAGATCAATTTGTTACAAGGGATTTGAGATGCCACCTCTGCCATATATAAAGCTGTCATATGTATTTGGGTCTAGTTCTGGACTTAAGAGATTAAAATTGGAGAAAGCTGACAGAGGGCTACACTGGAACTTTCTGTACTATTTTTTGCAGTGTTTTTCTAAGTCTAAAGTTAGTTCAAAATATAGAGTTAAGAAAATACAGCTGCCTATCAGCGATTCTAATTTAATTGGTCTGGGGTAGGGCCTAGGCATTGAGACATTTAACAGCCCCATCCCCCACCCATCAACCATAACCAGGTGATTCTAATGTACAACCATAGCTAGAATCACTACCGAAAAAGTATCACCTAAATGGGAATAAGGAGCCCTGGTGTTGGAGTAATGCATTACACGTTACTCATTGGCCTGCCAACCCCAAGGTCAGCAGTGTGAAACCACCAACCGCTCCAAGGGAGAAAGATAAAGCTTTCTGTTTCCATAAAGGACTACAGGGGGAGGAGCCCTGGTGGGTAGTGGTTACATGTTGGGCTTCCGGGCACAGGATTGGCAGTTCAAAACCACCAGCAGCTCCTTGGAAGAGACTAGGCTTCCTACTCCCATAAAGAGTTAGTCTCAGAAACCCACAAGGGGTCACTATGAGTCAGCATTGACTCAATGGCAGTGAGTTTTTGTTTGTTTTTGGAAAGGGTTACTGTCTTGGAAACCCACAGGGGCAGGTCTGCCTTGTCCTGTAGGGTCACTATGAGTCAGAATTGACTCAATGGCAGTGGATTTTTGAGAAATGGAGAGAAGCTGGGTGAGGGATGATCCCAATAGCAGATGACTACAAAAATTATATTATCACTGGTGTGAACACAGGCATGCAAACATGTACATAGAAAAATGGCAAGTAAATGAATGGAATATTCACAAAGGGTCAAAATGATTGGCTTGCCTACAGACATTAGGGGCAATATTGTCTGTTTTGAGCCATGTAGCATTTTATGTATGCATCTACAATCAGAGGAAATTTGTATTTCCAAAAAAAGGGAGGGGATAGGCTTTGCAAATTTGAATCTTGAAAGCTAAGTTTAGTCTGTCTACCCTGTGTGGGCCATGTTTCCTGGATGTATTAAAACACTAAGCCTGGAGGAATTGCTTTCAGAGGAGCCCTGGTGGCATAGTTAGCTAAGCAACAGGTTGCTAACCACAAGGTCAGCAGTTCAAATCCACCAACCTCTTGGAGGGTGAAAGATGAGGCTTTCTGCTCCCATCAAGATGTCCCGCCTCAGGAACTCAGAGGGATAGTTCCGTTTTGTTCTCTAGAGTCCCAATGAGTCAGAATCAACCCAATGGCAACGAGTTTGGGCACTATTGTTAGGTGCTGTGAAGTCCATTTTCAACTCGTAGCAATCAATCCATTTGAAGGCCCAACTCTCTATGGGAGGGGTCAGCAAACTGCAGCTCTCGGGCCATACGCGGCTCTTTCAGTCTGTACACGTAGCGCTGAAGTCAAACTAGAAACTATTTAAGGATATTGTTCACAAAATGGTGAATCCATTTGTTTGTAAAAAAAATATATAGTTATGGCTCTCAAATAATCTTTAAATTGTTGTGAGGGACTGAATTGGCTCTTCCATCTGCAAAATATGCCGTCCCCTGGTCTAGACCAGAGGGGTGAGAGACTGCACTTTTGGGATCATCCGGGGAATTTCAAATGCATAGACACCCTAGGACCCAGCCTCTAAGTCTGTTGTCATTGATGTAGAGTGCAAGCTTGGTTTTGCTTGTGGTAAAATATATATTTATCTAGCAAAACACAGGCCATTTCACCCCTTTACGGTGTATAGAGCTCTAGCACAAATTGTGCTCACTTTGTTGGGCAGCCACTGTCATTCCTGCTTCCCAAAGTATTTGTCACCCTGCACAGAAGCAAAGTGCCTCTGAAGCAGCCACTCCCCCTTTCTCCCCGGAGACCATGAAGTCCACCCCCACCCCCGCCCCAGTCACCTCTGGTGTCTGCTCACTTGCTTCTCCTAGATGCCATCCACTGGGCACTGGGATTTCTTAAAACTCCAGGTGACTCCAATGTGCAGCCAACCAACCATGGAGCACCATTGGACTAGAATCAGATGATCAGGGCCTTTTTCAAAAATGTGGTGAAATAAGAACACTTGCCATTCTCACCATTTTTAAGTATACAATTTCGTGGTAGTAATTACATTCACCATGTTGCACAATCACAGTTTGGACATTTTTTTCATCATCCCAAACAGGCATAGCTCCCCGCTCCTTTTCCCTCGGGGTCTTTTTGCTACACTGGCTCTTAATACTGACTGTACACTAGAACCAGCTCGGGCACATTTGAAAAAATACTGGTGTGTCAAAGTGGCCTCTGGGGTACTGGAAATGCTCCCAGATGAGATCTGGGTGGGAATTACACAGAGGCAGACACAGATTGACATGTATTGGGCTCCCAATGGAAGGCCAGTGTGCTTTCAGATGTGTGTGTATCTGTGAACTGTGCTTCAGGAAGGAAGAAAATGCTGATGCCGACACCCCACGATTCTGTGGGCTTGGAGGGGAAGGCCGTTGGTATACTAAGTCATCATCTGGAACGAGATCCATCCAAGTCTCTTCTAGGGAACCATATGTTGCCCCTTCTAGTTACCCCCCCTTCCCCAAGACGAGCAGCTCTTGTACCAGATAGTAGATGAATCGCTTCCAACTTTTGGTGCCATGAAAAGCACTGGAGAGTTTAGAAAAGACCTAGGAATGCCATCTCCACCCCGAGGCCAACTGAATCAGAAGCTGAGGAGTAGGCTACCCCAGTCTGAAATTTCAGACATAAGGATATTTTACCTTATCCTCGGTGAATAGATACACAGCAAAGCCAACGCCATCCAAACGTTTCCAGAAATAATGATCACGATGAATGTAATGTTGGTACATTCCTCACTGAGTCAACATTCCTGTGATTTCTGCCCTAGTGGCTTTATTCCCATTGGCTTAAGTTCCCTGCGCCCCGCCCCCTGCCTTTTTTTAAAATTGGGATTAATACCTATATCGAATCATTCCATTGTTCAGTCACATCCAGCAGAATTGTACATTTGCGACAGTGTCAGTTTCCAAACATTCTTTTTCTATATGGTCTGCTTGGCATCATCACCCCTTTACCCTGTCCACCACCTCCGTGTCCCCCTCCCGCCAAAACCCTTATTCCACTTGCTGACTCGATAGGTTCATCAGTCCTGGTTTTCATACCCCCCAACATGAAAAACCATATGCTGCAACTTCAAGAGGGTGACTGACCCCGAATGACACAACACTCCTGAGGTACCACCCCCCCATATGTACAATCAAAAACCATACAAAACAATACAACCCCCCAATACATAAGATTTTGGAAACGGAATCAGGTCTAGCATGTATCCTAGGGGGAATCTGCTGACCAGTTCTAACGGTTCAAGTCCGGCTTCTGCCTTTGACCTTCTATAGTCAACTCACCAATGCACTCCATTTAGCGACCTCTTTCCTTCTATCTCTCAACTGTGGATGGAGGGCCTTCATCAGAGCAGTCTGGTCTTTGGAATAGCTGTTGTCCTTGTGGTTCACATAGTTTGATTTTGTTCTGAAGACGGCTTTCTTGAGCTATATTCACGCAGCATAAAATCCGCTCCTTTACAGTATGCAAGTGAGCGGTTTGAGCGTATTCACCATCCGCACAGGCCATTTCCGGCCATTTTCATCACCTCGAGAAGAGAGTCATCCCCTTCAGCCATCACTCCTCCATCCTCCCTGCGCCTGGAACCCCCAGCCTTAAACCATTACTGATTTCCTTTGTGTCTGTTTTTTATTTTTGAAAAGTTCCTCTGGATAATTCTCGAACATAGCCAGGGTTGGGTACCACTGGCCTGAAGCAACATTGAGGGCACAGCCATCCAAGAGCCTGTGTTTAGATAAAGACTTTGGAACATATTCCTTTCTTCTTTGTGAGTGATTGGAGGAAGGAATATGAAGTTGAAGAGCCTGAGATGAGTCACGTTCTTAAAAAGAGATGCTGGCTTAGCCTCCCTTTGACCCCAGCTTGATTTGGTTTCTCAATGAACAAACAGATCCTTGTCACTTACCATCTGCCTGGTAAATACTATGCTGGGCTAGCACAATCCATCCAGTCCTCATGTGTCCTCGTGGGTAGGTTGCAAAGATAGGTCATTACGTGAAAATCGACATATGTGAAAACAGAGGATGACCACAGCAGATCATAGTACCTGGGATGACTGCATCATCACAAAGCTGCTGAATTACATCATCATGTAACTGGGGGTGGGGTGGATCACATCATCACACAGCTGGCAAACAACTGAGATTCTGACCCAGCCATCTTGCCACATAACTTTGAACATCCTAGCCAGCGTTCTTCTTACCTTGCACTTCGGTGGTGTTGGTTTTCAATGCCCAGAGTAGCTGGGAAGTAGATTTTCTATTATTGTAAAGGTGAAATGTCAGACCATTAGGTGGTGAGAAGTAGGTGTATAAAACTGATGAAGGCAGATTTCTCATATATGGAAACCTGTTGGCTCACAATGTCTTTAAAAACGCTATCGCCGCCGCCACCATGCCCCAGGAGCACAGGGAAATCTCAAATGTTTGAATCTCAAATGTTAAGTGATAAGCCTCAGAACAGCAGTGTGAGCTTGTGCAGCCGAACTCCAGAATTCATAAAGCTACCCACCGTCTGACTGAGTCCTCTTCCAGAGAGCAGGCGGTGGAAGTGGAGGGGCCATAGAGGTGCCCGGATGGCATGGGATGGCGGGGGCTGAGAGGAGCAGGTTCCCAAGGATGCCACATCACCGTGGGTGAGTCAGATGACCGCCAGAGGAAGAGGAAGTCTCTCCGCAGCTCACTAGTGACTCCTGCCTCTCTGCTTCTCTTTCAGTGATCTGCAGGAGCCCATCCTGTGTGTGGATGGCCCTCCGTTTTCTTCGGCCAGCAAACCTCTCCCAGTTGCTCCTCAGACCACAATTCTCTCCCAGGTGGCCCATGCCTTGTCTTTTGCTCAGCCTTTAGATCATCCAGCCATGCCCCAGAACGCCCCTTTGCCCACCAGAGAAATTCACCTTCTCTCTCATCAGCCCTCAGCGACAATAGCTCCCATTTCTACTAATGCCATGAGACCCCACACTGACGCCATCTCCTCCTCGAAAACCCAGCCCAGCCTTCCTTCCACTCCTCAGCCTGTGAGATCCTCACTTGCTGCTGCGACCACAGCTGCTCCTCAGAATGATATCACAACCAGCTCAGCCTTTAAGACAGGTGCGTATGAGAAGCCATGCCCCACCTCCACGCCCCGTTTGTTGTCATTGTGGCTACTGAGATGCAGCCACCAGCCTGCCAAACCAAGGTATCTGGATCTAAGTTGAGCATTCCTTGACTTTGAGAGCTTTCCTTGAGAAATTCATAGGAGATAGAGACGACTAAGTTCAAACAGTTTGACCTAGACAGTGGAGCAATAGCTCTTAGAGGCAAGTATAGATCTCATTTTATTGAGATGGATACTTTCTGGGTTCCTGTTTCCTACAAAGGAACCTGGGTGCCGCAGTGGGTTAAGCATTGCCCTGCTAACCGCAAGGTGAGCAGTTCAAACCCACCAGCCACCCCCAAGAGAAAGATGACACAGTTGGCTCCTGTAAAGAAACCCAACGGAGTAGTTCTACACTGTCCCATAGGGTTACTCTGAATCAGAATCGACTTGATGGCGGTGAGTGAGTTCTCCTACAAAAGAGTGTTGAGTCCCTTTTTAACAATCCGAACACTTCGAACTATTAAACAGAGGAGTTCCACTTAGCCAGAAGGCCCAAAGGTGAAAAAAATGATTTTCTTGAAGATCAGCCAGTCATTGAGTGGCAGCGGTGGGACTGAGGAGGGGAGAAATTTCCAGAAGCCCTGGGTTTGGATCTGCATTCACCCTCCCAAACGATGTGATCTCAGATGAGCCATTTAACTCCTCAGATTCAGCCTGCTCTGTTTCATGGCTGAAATAATTTCACGAAGTGCACTCGATTGAGAAAGATGGTGTATGTGACAAGGCTTAGCCACGAAAGTGACATTTTCACAAAGCAGGCTTCATGGGAAAGAGATAAAGGGCCGAGAGAGTGAGGCAAATAATTCTCTGTGTATTCTCTGGAGTTTCAATTCTGAGAATGAGAAGCAATTCCACTACTGACATTGGGAAGGTGGGAGGCAAAGTCAACGATGGGCCTCATCTCCCATGGTGCCAACACCCCCAGGAGCTTTGGAGCTTCTGCCAAATGACTCTGGATTTGCCCAGCTTTCTCTTAAGTCATTTTGTTGTAGAAATGTGGGCATTTTAAAGCCAAATTGTGAATTCATGCGAACATTGGTTCAGTGAAGGTTCAATAGCAGATGAAGAAGAAAGGAGAATTAAAGTGTGATCGTGGACTTAAGATGCCCACCTTGCCCCAAGCTATTGCCTGACAGTCAAGCTAACATGCTACACAAAAAAATTATCCACGTGACCTCCTGCACCTGGGACTTTAGTTTCAGCCAGTGAGGCAACAGATGCCAGCTGACATACACATAAAAAAAAGATGTGCATTGTGGTGTTACTTGGTAGCTAAAAAGTAAATCAAATGTAATGGTTTTGCAAGGAGTCATGATTAAGTGAGATACTACCCCTCAACCTCCATTGGCCATTGCACAACTGTGGGAGTAATTACACAAGAACAACTAGCTCTCCCACTCTGTTGTTAACTGTGAACATGCATGGATAAGGATAGAAGGAAATATGCGAGTACAATGTTAAAATGATGGAATTAAGGGACTTCTGTTGCCTTTGGAAAAGACATATTTCCAGTATTGTTCCCCAAACAGAAGCACTATTAAAATCAGACTTTCGGTGAATTCTCACGAGCTGCTTGTTGGATGATTTCTTTTGTCCCTAAAAAAGCACCTAGTTGATGAGAAATACAACCTTCCTCTAGTTCCTAAAGGTTTCCTCCCCGCTCCCACTACCATGACTCGAATTCTATCTTGCAAGACTGGTTAGACCAGAGGAGGTACACTGGTACAGATAGGAACTGAAAATACAGGGAATCCAGGACGGATGAGCCCTATAGGACCAGTGGTGTGAGTGGCAAAACAGGGAGGGTAAAGGGAGAATGGGTAGGAAAGAGGGAACCGATTGCATGGAACTGTGTGTGACCTCCTCCCTGGGGGACAGACAACCAAAAAGTGGATGAAGGGAGACGTCGGACAGGGCAAGATATGACAAAATACCCATTTATAAACTATCAAGGGCTCATGCGGGAGGGGGGAGGGGGGAGGGAGGGGAAAAATGAGGACCTAATGTCGGGGGTTTAAATGGAGATAAAATGTTTTGATAAACGATGTACAAATGCGCTTTACACAATTGATGTGTGTATGGATTGGGATAACAGTTGTATGAGCCCCTAATAAAATGTTAAAAAAAAAAAGCACCTAGTGGCCCACATTAAATCCTGTACACAGGATTCCAGTAGATGTCCAAGAAGGATTCCAAAAGTTCAAAACCTTTTTTTCATTTTAATTCCATCGTCCACAGATTTTGAAGCCCCCTTCATGTTCAAATGCCCACATGAAAACCAGGGTTGGGAGCCCTTGACAGCAATGGTGTTGGTGGTTTCTCAGGCGCCGTCACGCACCACTTTCAGCTGTGAAAATCAGTGATGCTCAAGCCCTACACTCCCACTTGGTTTCATTTTTCTCTAATCGAAGCCGAAGAGAGTAGTAAGTGGCAAATGATATCCATATATGAGGAGAGAGAGAGAAAGGGAGAGGGTCAAGTTTATTTAAGTACAATTTACATATAACAAATTCATCCTTGGCATGGGTCAAGGAGGCTGGAGAAACACAATCATGTGACTAGCCATCATCACAATCAAGCTAGATAACACGCCACTACTCCCAAAACTTCCTTGTATCCCTCTGTTCTTTGAGCCTCGCTTTCTCCACTTCAAGTAATGCATAGGTGATTCGGTGCTTCACCCACGTTGTCTACTGTATCAGGAATAAACTCACTTTCATAGCTGAATAATAGTGCTTTGTATGGATGTACCCCAGTTTATTTATCTGTTCTCCATTTAATGAAGTGGTTCTCAACCTGTGGGTCCCGACCACTTTGGGGGTTGAATGACCCTTTCACAGGGGTCACCCAGTTCCTAACAGTAGCAAAATGATAGTTATGAAGTAGCAACAAAAATAATTTTATTTTGGGGGGTCAGCACAACATAAGGAACTGTATGAAAGGGTCGCGACATTAGGAAGTTTGAGAACCACTGATTTAATGGATATGGGTGCTGTGTCCAGTTTGGGGCTATCAAAGCGACCCAACCCAACCCTACCCATTGCCATCGAGTAGATTCCAGTTCATAGTCACCCCTATACAAGGTTTCTGAGACTAAATCTTTACCAGAGCAGACAGTCTGATCATTCTCCCCTCCCAGTGGCTCCTGGGTTTGAACCACTGACCTTTCAGTTAGTAACCCAACACCTAACCCAAAGCACCACCAGGGCTCCTTAGGAAAAGAAAATGCCCTCCCTGTAGGAGCTCTACTGGTTTAGGGGTTACCCATTGGGCTGCTAACCTAGAATACAGTTCGAGATCACCAGCCGCTCCAAGGGAGAAAGAGGCTTTTTGCTTCCCTTACCGTCTTGGAAACCCACAAGAGTAATTCTACCCTGACCTATAGGGTCCCTATGAGTCTGAATCAACCGGATGGCGGTGAGATATAAGCATTCACAAGGAAACCTTCAGCTTTAGTTATTATTTTTTTAATTTCTCTCTGGCAAATACCTAGAAATGAGTTGGATCGTCGATGTATGTTTACTTTGATTAGTGGCATTTCCTTTCTGTGCTCCGAATGTGATTGGGCTCTTTGTTATAGACATTCTCACCATCAGCAACTTCCAGGCCACAGAACTTGAGAAACAGGTGTGCCAGATGGAGAAGATTTTGTCCTTCGGCAGCTTGGCACCTAACCTCGCGGGAGAAATGGTCACCCAAGTCAGCAACCTCCTTCACTCCCCACAGGCCTTGCTGGCCCCTCTGGCTCAAAGGTATGGCTTGGTAACCTGGTGGGGAGATGGGAGGAGGCCTGTTAATGATATAGGGGCTTCTTGCAGGATTCCCGACAGCCCAGTCATTTCCTCCAAAGAAAGGCAGGGTGGTTCGGTGGGTAGTGGCATTTTTGTCTTCCGTGCAAGAGACTTGAGTTTGATTCCTAGCTTCGGCAGCTCATGCGCAGCTACCACCCATCTACCAGGGGAGTATTGCATGTTGTTATGATGATTCACAGTCAATAAAAACCAAGACTCCAAGTTACAACCGATCCTGGAGATGGTACAGGGCGGGACAGAATTTTATTCTATTGTGTATGGGGTTGTCATGTCTGGGAACCAAATTGATGGCAGCTAACAACAGCTTTTCTCCCAAGTGCTTGGTGCCCCATGGCTTCTCAAGTTCCTGCTCTCTGTTCTGCCTAGCTCAGGGGGGCAGGGAAGAGGGGGAGCGCTGAGGGAACTGCCCCTATCTTGACAGATTGCTGAAAGTGGTGGCTGACATTGGCTTACAACTGAATTTTTCAAGCAAGACCATAAGTTTCACCTCCCCTTCTTTGGCTCTGGCCGTGATGAACGTGAATGCCAGTAATTTCAACGCAACTACCTTTGCAGCAGAAGACGCTGAAAATATTCAGGTACCCTGTAATTTATTGTGGAGGACTCGCTTCTCCTGGGTAATTGTCATCTCGGTTGCACTTCATGATCGAGTCAATTGCTGCTTCGAGTTTGGAGTGCTATTGAAAATATGAAACATCTGGAACGAGGAAGCACTGCAGACTCCGAAGAGAGGGAGCTTGAGCTAGACGAGTGTTTCCCAAAAGTGGACGACCGCGCCCCCTGGTGGGAATTGCTGGAACGACCCAGCAGGGAGGAATTGCAAAACAATACCTACACTTGATCCTCATACAAAACTTAATTGCCAGGAGGGCACTGAGAAATTTTTTTTCCTGAAAAGGGGGGTGGACAGGCCAAATAAGTTTGGGAGCCTATAATTCTAGATGATCCTTTTTGTGGCCAGTGCTAATGCTTCAGCAGCTGGGTTATGGAAGTTTGGGAGTGGTGTTCATGGGGAGGTGGAATCCTATACAACTGGAAAAATGGACATCGGCTACCTATCAACCCATTTGAATAGTTCAACAAGTGTGGTGGCTGCTCTAGGGAATCTTGGTGGGACAAAGGGTTCAGCACTTGGCTGCCAACTGAAAGGTTGGTGAGAGCAAGACCAGGTGACTTGTTCTTAGAAAGATGACAACCTAGAAAATCCTGTGGGATCCATCCATTGTACGTTGTCATAGGGGTCACCACGAGTCAGAAATGAATGCGCCAGCACCGAGCGACAGCAACAATAACATGTAGCTAGTACACAGCGTATGCTGGTGCGGAAGAGCCATCTTGCTTCTAGCATTTTCTATCCAGAGAGCCTGGTGGCTGGAAATGGCCAAGTAAAACCACAAGTCTTGCTTCTTACAGGCTTATAGTCTTCCCTTACAGGTTTAGTGCATGTGAGTCTATGAAGACTTTACCCTACACGGGTCACCAACTTGGTGTGTCTGCTGCAGTGCTCTCCTCAGGGGTCTACAATGATCCTACCCTTTTTGATGGTTTTTGTATAACCTTAGAATACTTTCTGTCCTGCCTGGAGGCCTCATTTCCATTCTAATTGAGGAGTTCAAGGCGGTTCCTGGGACAAAGACTTGGCAAGCTATTGCTGAGGAAATCTGACACGGAAACCCCCCTGAAGCAAAGCTTTACACATGAGCTCTCCGGGAGCTGGAGTCCACTCAGTGGCAACGGTTGAGTGGTTGTTTTCTGTTCTCCTTAATAGTTTTATTGGGATATAATTTATATAATAGTTCGATCCTATTAAGATGAAAAGATATGGTGTTACACTGTAGTCTACCTCCAGCTGTTGTTTTCTTTCATTGCTGCAACTGCCGTAGAACCCACTTTACCAGGAGGCCCCCACAGACCAAATACCCTTACAGGGTGCTGTGTGCTCACGAGCGCAGGAATGGTTGCATTTTCTATCTTTCCATTATGCCAGCTCCCAAGAGATCTCTTACCAGTTCACTTGGTTGCCAGGTTTCTCTGGAAAGGCCGCATCCTGAGAGCAGCGTTGGCATGATCTCTCTCCCCTCCTCGCTGCTGTGCAATTTGCCACAGGATGATGTGGCGCTGGCTTCCAGAGTTCAGTTCAACTTCTTCAAAACGCCTGCCCTATTTCAGGTAAAGCGGGCCGCTGCTGTCGTGTGTGTGTGTGTGTGTGTGTGTGTGTGTGTGTGTGTGTGTGTGTTGGGGGTGAGGAGGATGTTTCATTGATGTACTGGGGGTGGGGTGTTTCTTTGAATCATCCATTATTCTTCAGCCCAACAAGTTGCTTCAGAATTGCAATTTATTTTTAAACACTGGGCCTTTGGGGGAGGAGGCTGTGGTCCCATTCTTGACATGTACAAACCACGATCAAGTGCCAAATGCAATGGGAAACACTCCTAGTCATCCACTCCCGGAATCCTCCCAGCAACCCCGGGAGAGTGGAACAATTATTAGCCCAACTTTACAGGTGGGGAAATGGAGGCCCAAGAGAGGCTCAGTTCCTAGCTCGGGAGCCCTCAGCTTCACTGGTTGAATGTTTGGTCCCCATTATACATTCACAAGGGTCCCAGTGTATCTGTCTGTGCAGTCAGATTCAGTATTCGGAGCATTGTACAGTGACATGAGGGGGGCCTTGTGGCACGGCAGTTAAGCACTCAGCTGCTCACTGCAAAGTTAGTGGCTCAAACTCACCCAATGGCTCTCAGGGAGAAAATGAGGCAGCCTGCTTCTGTAACAGCCTTGTAAACCCTGTGGGGGCAGTTCTGCTCTGTCCTCCGGGGTCTCTATGAGTCGGAATTGACTCCAAAGCAGTGGATCGGGGTGCTTCAGTGAAATGAGGTGTGCTTCTAATTGTGGGAGATCCGGAGAGAGGCCTGACCTTCCATTTCTCACCGAGGAGGTCAAGGAGAGAATGTAGACTCCTAGGCCCTCGGGAGTATTTTCAAAGTCTAAACTTCTTTGATGGGATCTCATTTCCCCTTGCCATCTTGTTGCTTCTTTGGCGTTCTAGGACCCTGACCTTCAGAACCTCTCTCTGATCAGCCACATCATATCCTCAAGTGTTGCTAACCTGACTGTCACAAACTTGACAAGGAACGTGACCGTTGCATTAAAGCACATCACCCCGAATAAGGTGAGCAGAGGCTGGTTCGAACTCTCCCCTTCCATGCCGTAGACTCAGTTTGAGGCTAGCCAAGTGTCTGCCAATGCAGGTTTGCTTGTTGCTAGGAAGCTGCACAAGTTTCAGCTGAGCTTCCAGGCTAAAATGGACTAGGAAGACAGGTGTGGAAATCTACTTCTGAAAATCAGTCATTGAAAGCCCATCTACAACCCACCCGAGGTTGGCACAGAGCTGGACTGCCTTGTGTGCTGTAAAGCGAAGAGCCACCATGAGTTAGGGGCCAACTTGATGGCAGCAAACCACAACCGTAACTGGCCACCTCCTTTCCAAGAAGAGACGGTGCGGGTGCACACTCTCATCCACTGCTGAATTCAGTGTGTGCAGTAGCAGCTCTGATTCTCCTCTCCAATGAGAAGACATCACTCAGCTCAGTTCACACCGAGAAGCATTGATGATCTCGCTTCGCAAAGTGCGATCCCTGGACCAGCAGCATCTGCATCCCCGAGAGCTTGTTACAAATGCTGAGTGGTAGGCCCCACCCCAAACCTAGTGAGTCTGAACCTGCATTTTAACAAGGACCCAGGTGCTTCTGATGCCCTTTGGGGAGTTTAAAAAGAACTGACCTGTGTAGGGCTCACTTGCTTTGGGGTAGAAGATATGTTCTCATATAAAATAGGAAGTGTGCTTCCAAAACCAAGCATAATACGCTGAACTAAAACGATCCTGGTTTCCTATTTTCAGCCCAGTAAATTAATTGCTGCTCATTTATATTTCTATTGCAGAAAGATTTGCCAGTGATCTGTGTATTCTGGGACGTGAGCCGAAATGGTAGGTTCCGGTCACGCCCTTTTCGAAGTCTTGAGTGGGCAAAGGGAAGAAGCAAGAGGGAGTTGGTGGGAAGGTGGGTGGAGAGGCTCATTGGCACCCTGGCCTTGTTGACAGGACAGATATTCTTTTTGATGCCAACAGGTGGCAAAGGAGGCTGGTCACCCAATGGCTGCTCTGTCCAAGTGAAGACCCTGAACGAAACCATCTGTACCTGCAACCACCTTACAAGCTTTGGCGTCCTATTGGTAGGGTACCAGAGGGTAGGGGTGGTGCAGTGGTAGAATTCTCACTTTCCATGTGAGTGACCCGAGTTCAATTCCCCATCCAGGTACCTTATGTGCATTCACCACCTGTCTGCCAGTGACAGCTGGTGTGTTGCTAGAAAGGGCTGGCGAATGACTTCTAAAAATCAGCCCGTGAAAAAAAATCCCATGGCTCTTTTAAAACTGATGATGGCACTATATGTACAAATGTGTTTGATACAATTGATGTATGATTTGTTATACGAGCTGTATGAGCCCCAATAAACTGATTTCTTGATAATTAAAGAAAGAAAGGAGAAAAGCCCATGGATCACAATGGTCCAATCGTTGTGCATGGGATTGCCGTAAATCAGGGGTGAACTCAGCAGCTAAAATGGGAAAAGTGGCCTTCGATTCTTTGTCTGAGGGGTAACAAGACATCATATACCACGATGTTCCATATGATGAGTGATTTTGACATGTCAGCCGAGACCATGATCTTGTGACAATGCAGCCAATGAAATTCTTCTTCTAATACACAAATAGGAAAGGAAAATGTTTGTACATGGAATACAAGTGTTGTTGTTTACATGTTATTTTTCTCTTTCAGTTGTTCTCTTTCAATCAGGAGGGCTCTTAAACTCAGACTAAAAGAGGCAATAACAGTTCTTTAGTTTTCGGTGCCCTTTAAAATTCACAAAACATTTAGCCAAACACTCTTATTTCACCTTCTCAGGAGTCCTAAAAGATAGGTAGAGTGGGAGGTTGTGATTAGCATTTTGGTGAAGGCAGAAGACTCATTTGTTAAAGTAATTATCCACATAGAGCTAAGACATTGAAGAGCCAGGAGTGAAATTCGAGTCTT